AAAGCTCCCTTTTCAAACGGCCTCGCTCAAGCCCACGCAAAAACCACTCCAAGCCGTCTTCCCAGCTGGGGCGGCCCAGGCGGCCTGTGTGGAGGTCTGGTGGGTCACCAGGAGCCCCTTTCCCCGCCCCCCGGCGCAGGGTCATCATCCCTCGCTGTGCCCAGGTTCTGTTCCTCACCCATAGTCGCTCCTGATCTCCACCTGACCGGCGCTTCAGGGGACGGTGGGGTACAAGCTTCACCTCCGACTCCTTGGGGTCCCTGCTCTGCCCCCAGCACTGCAGCCACTCCAGCAAGCCAGGAGGGATGCCTATGCCCAAGAACAGAGCTGCACGCACACACACACATGCAGGGCAACCGCCACCGAGCTCCATCTCGGAGATGGCCAGGCAGCACTGGGTAACAAAGAGATGCCTGTACCAAATAGGATGAAGTCATCTGTTGACTCTGGCAATGTTTTAGGCAGACTCTCAGTGGGCTGGGGAAGACTTATGGAGGAGTGAGGAAGCAGAGGAGCTGGCAGCGGTAGCATTTGCTGTGTCCTCGGTGATAACATAGACCTGTGAATCATAAAAACCCATTTCATTCCCATTCCTTTCACTGTTGCCAATCACCCTCTGCCAACACGAGCCAGGTCTGTGACTCCTTCCTGCCCGGCCAAAAGAGCCATCCAGGGCTTGTCTGACTCCAGCAACACACCTAGGGGCAGTGACTGCCAACTCCTGGGTGTCTGCCCTTGACACATCTGCTGCCTGGGGACCAGCACGTGCCTGGCTCCAGCAGCAGGAAGAGCCCATGCAGACACGAGGGAGCCCTCCTCATCCTCCTGCTGCCACGCGCTAGGCTTTGAGCACAGCTTCCTCTTCCCAGGACCCTGAGCAGAGCAATCCCTGCACCTTTGCACTTGTCCATGCAGAACAGCACTGCCCCTTCCCCTCTGTCACGCACCTGTTTTGGCCACGGGTGCAAATGCCCATCAGGGCTGTAGGAGGAGTGAAGCTAGACACCCGTGGGCATCCGAGAAAGCCACCTGGGGAGCTGTAGCCAACAAGCATGATGCACACCAGCACCTTGTGTTCAATTTGCCAGCTTTGCGGCTCGTGAGTGCCCAGGCTGTCTCATGGCCTCCATCTCCTCCTGACCCCCTTTCCACAGCGCTCAATCTCCTGCGGACAGAGGTACCCATAGCAGTGGGGTCCCAGTCTCCACTAGCCAGGAAGGCAAAGCTGTGAGAGCAGCAGGATGCCTGTGGGAGACCACAGCCAAGCAATAACACCAAACTGTGGCTTCTGACCAAAAGGGCTTTGTTTGAGAAGAATGGTGAGCAGTGAGAGAAGGGATACAGAGTAGCTGCCAAGCAAACAGGAAATGAGCTGGAAAAAAAAAAAAAGAAATCACAGATCCTTTAAAGCAGGGTTATTCATTAAAAAAATAACCTCACACTGAGGATCCCCCTGCTCTCCCATAGGCACCAGCCAGGGGAGAAGCAGAGCCCTGTGTCCCTGGGAGGGATGCCCAGGGCAAGGTGTGGAGGCAGCTGGCAGAAAGTCCCAGTGTCCTGTCAAGAGGGGACACACCTGTCCTTGCCTTCCCGTGCACGTGGCGCCAGGGTCCGTGCTGGAGCTGGAGATACGGCAGCACCAGGAAGGATCACTTGTGCCTCGCTCGAGGGAACTCCTTCCTGCCCTTGTCACGGCCTCCAAAATAGCGGATCCTGTGGATTGCCTGCAGCTGACGCTCGATGGTGGCCCTGATGTCCACCTCGTCGGGGATGTGAACATAGCGGACGTTCCTGCCGGTTATAAAGAGCTCATCCAGGTGGGACACTGTGCCCTGCCTGTCTGTGAAGGTCACCTCAGACAGGCGCACGTTCATGAAGGCGTCCACGTTGGTGATGCGCCCAGTGGCTGTGCTCTCATCACGGAGGTCCACAGTGGTGACATGGCCGTGCAGGCCCTGCAGAAGGATGACCAGACTGTTCTCGGCAATGGTGCGCTCCTTGACAGAGTGGCTGACCTCCATCGCGCCGCTGTAGCAGAGGAACAGGAGACGCCATGCTGCGCCCTGACCAGCACCTGCCTGCCCCACTGCCCGCTCCCCCAGGGGCAGGTCAGCCAGACTCTGTGTCCCGGGGCACATGCTGCGGTGCAGCCACCAAAGAAATGCACTGCATCTCCCTTGCATGCTTTCACACTCCTCCCCTTGCACACTGGTGTGCATACCACCCCCTCTCCCCTTGCACACGCACATAGGTGCACACCGCCCTCCTCTCCTTGCACACACACGTACAAACTGTCTTCCTCCTCTTGCACGCTCACCCGCACGCCCACTC